AGGGGTGATGATGTTTGGTAAAATGTCCACCTTGTAGTTTTTGTTTACTAAACGATAGCTTAGTACGCAGAAGCGTATGTTCAACTATGCTGTTGTAAACTAAACAGGTTATCCCTTTTACGAAATCAAATAACCACGAGTGCTCTCCATGCGCGTTGGAATGCGAACTTCCATCAAACGTTGGGTAGCGCATTATACAATAGGAACCTTATGAAATATCAACCAGTCCCTCAGGTGAAACACTGCAGATGATGCTGAAAACCGTCTTAATGAGACTGTGGTAGATTGTTGGCGAACAATCCATTTGACCTGAGAATAAGCCAGTCAGCCTTGGCGTGCTTCATTGTGAGCAATACGGGGTTATGTCATTTGTACCGCAAAAGCTGCTTGTTTTGGAAACCTAAGGTTATTATTACTTCTGTGTAAGCTCTCTGAACGCGCTCAATATCAGCAGAAGAATAAGACAATCTAAACTGTTGCTACGCAAACTACAAGGCACAATGCTTGAATGTTCCGGGCCAAAGTTTCACTTAGGAATATGAACCAAAATCATTCCACAAGCAATAAGTAATTCAGGTCAACTTAGAAGATTCTATTATTTCATGGGATGTTGGACATAATGAAAAGTATGCATCCAGAAAACGTCGTCTATCAGTCCACCGCAACTCTTCAGTAGTGTTGTATGGAAGTCAGACATTGGAAAATTGCTCCCCACTAAAGAGCTTGGAAGTGTAGACAGATTTGTACGTATTCGAAACAGCCTTTACCTGGAGAGTATACCATTCACAACATAAGTGTATGTTGCATAGCCCATTTTGGCTATTGTCTGAGACTGATTGGCAACATCTGCTTATTTTTCAATGATTAAGCACTGTACCGCATATAATATGCAAGAAATGAAATAAAGTCAGCTAAAGAATGGAACCATCAGTTTCCTAATCAACTAGTTAAACCAATCCGAGTAATAAATACATGTCTTAACAACGAGGAGTGCGATTAGTTTTTCCTACTAGGCTATCTGAATCACCGTTCAACTCAGGTAAACAAGCTCATTTGCACCGTGCTTGTGTCCATGTCAAGCAACAAAATAACAAATAAAAAGATTACGGTGGAACAATTGATTCATCAGCACTTTTTGCTGTAAAAATAAAAGAAACTCAGTCCACTGCTTTATATATTTGTAAGCTCAGTAACGTTTTCCATGGCCCAATGCGGTCGGTAACGGTAGCTTTGCAACCTAAGCTTACAATTGGAAACATCATCAGCGGTGCTCATGACCCATATTTGAGTTTATTTGTTCTACTTCTACTCAACACACTCAGCACTTGAAAGCATGATGCGTATGTCACTTTGGCTTATTCTTAATAGCACCGTTTTCCTTTAGTGAGCGTCTTGTGAGCAGCCACTTAAAGTTTAGCGTGTCTCATCATTAGTTTGTATGGGTAGTTCATAGTTGCTGTCGTAGAAAGCTTTGGTTTATTTAAATACGCTATATAATGGATGTTTTCGTATCACTCGCAAGTGTTGTATAGAATTTGGTATTACAGTTAACCAGAGTGATTCAACTAACTTAAATGTGGTAGCTATCTTTTCGAATGAACAGTGCAAACCACATACTTCACGCCCTCTGACAACCGCTGAGGAACATTTATTAATAGTTCAATAGGGTATGATGAGATACAAAGCATAACTTCACATGACTCACAGGATGAATATGCCAAAGAAAATTAAAATCAAAATGTTCAAACTTGGAACGTGAATCTTCAATAATAAAGACATCACACCTTATCACACTGTTGTGTAGCGTTTATCACTAAGATGAAAGTTTTTCGAATGTCGTGATGCCTGTTGCATTCACCACATGTGTTGGTAGTGCATTCCAGTTGGAACAGATTCTGAGTAACGATACTTCCTACAACCCAAACGAGAATGTTGCGTCATTAGTTTCAGGTAGTTGCCTCGGCATGCTTTGTTAGGGGCTAAGGTCACCAATAATGTGCATGGGTGCTCACTTTCTATTAGTATCCGGTATGTGAGAATGAGATCTCCGCGAAGCCATCGGTATTCTGAGAAGAACACACCGAGTAAACAAAGACGCAGTTCGTAACTGAGACCGGATGGTCCAAGCGTTGCTTTGGTGGCTCTTCTTTGGGTTTGCTCCAATAGGCAAATGTCTAGTTTTAACCATGGACACCAAGCCTGACTTGCATATTAAACCTGAGGACGAATATAGGAGTTTATTGGCAATGGTACGAGCGGTCGCTCAAAGGTGACGAGAGCTAGCCTCGAAAGCCACAACTTCAAGTTCGCCACACTTGGTACTTTCGAGCATTGAAGCGGATTGCTAAACCTTTCTTGCACGATGATACCTAAGTCGCGTTCATTATTCACGTGTTGCATGACATGTTGTCACAAAAGATTTGTGTTAAGGAAGATGCTACGCACCATCGGCAGTTTGCACTTTGCAGAGTTCAGTGGGAGCTAGTTCCTTATTGCCCCTTCGTTAGTCCTAGCTAGAAGATCCTGAAGATAGACACGATCGGTTGCTGAGCGAATTACTCTCCATATTTTAGCATTGTATGCAGATATTTGCATCGGAGATAGAATGGTTGCCGGAAGGTCATTGATGCCGATCAAAAACAGTAGCGGGCCGAGGACGGATCCTTTCGGTACACCACTAGAGACGCACAAGCTTTTGAGTGAGTATGGGCTACTCTTACCTTGATTGCTCTGTCATGTAATTAATATTCCAACCAGGTGAGCATGGAACCGCTGATCCCGTAGACAGCAAGATTTCGGAGGAAAAGGTAGTGATTGACCCTGTCGAATGCTTTAGAAATGTCTGAGTACATCACATATATGGGAACTCCTTCATCAGCCGCCTGGGTCCATGAATCCCGAGTAGGCAACAAATTGGTGAGACAAGCTCGTCTGCGTTTGAAACTAAGTTGGACATTAAAAATTATTCGTAGCTATACAAGTATGGCGTCAGTTTATGTGCGATTACCACTTCCATCACTTTTGATAAAACAGAAAGGAGAGTAATAGGTCGGTAGTTGGTGGGATCCGATCGCTTACCTTCTTGATATATTGGAGTTGTAATTCCATTTTTCCACTCAGATGTGAGTGTATGGGAGTCAAACAGACTATAAAAAGGCTGAAAGTGGTACTGGTATGGTGATAGCAAGGGTTTTAAATACTCTTGAGAAGATCATGTCAATTCCAGAGGCATTGTATTCCCGAGGAGACTGTAATTTGCTTACAGCAGCTGCTGGTGTAAAGGTAACTCTGGATAAACCAACGACATTTGTTGGGAGTTGATAGGGCGTAGGTTCCATGGTATTTGTAGCCACTGAGTCAAAGTGTAGGAGTAGCGCGTTCGCGGCATCCACAGTAGTAGTTGTTAGGCCACTGGCAGTATTTAGTGGTGGCATTCCGCTCTTAACCTTTCTTTTGCCATTCACATATCTGTATAGTACTTTGGTGTTACTCGTGAACTCCAGTACTATGGTCTCCTGCCAATTGTACTTGTCGATTCTAATGAGTTACTTGCAGTATTTGCTGATTATCTTCTAATTCTACCATGTGGTATCACATGGGCTTCGCGAATGTTACCTCCAGACATTGAAAGTCGTTGTCTAATAAAGATGAAATTTATCGAAAAAATATTCTTTGCAGTTTTGCATTTATACTCACGATATATTCAATATCATCAGAGGGTTGTCTTTAACAATAACGGGGCGGCTCTGTGTTTGGAGGCAAAAAGCCATTACATCTCTAAACGGAAAAACTTTTTAGTATCGTTTCAAGGAAGCTCAAAAAATAATTTACATACTGTTAGAAAATGGTCACCGATGCTCGGAACACAGTCCCAGGTAAACTTTACTGGCCCCAAGATTCATTCTGTCCCGAGAATTTATTACACAATGATACTTTTACAGCCGAATGATCAGCTCATTATGCTTATTCATGACTATGGCTACACAGACACCAAGAATTTGTGTATCAAGAACTGGGTTTCTTATTTCCTCATAAATTTAACAAGATAGACAAGCCTCAGTTCACCTGGTGAAAATAAGGTATGCTACGTCGGAAGAGGAGACGATAGGAGATGGCTTTGTCTCAGCACCTGATCAGATTTGCACCAGCCAAAAGCGTATGCATATCGGACTAGTTTTTATTGACGAAAACTAACATCATGGGTAAAGCGAATATCTGCCGTAGCATGATCCAGGGCAAGATTCTTTTATCCGGTTTATCCCTAGAATGCATTTGCTGAGCTATGTATAGTAACAATCCCATGTGCACCATCTCACACGACTCATTGAACATGGCCAAACATGAGTGTCTGTTAGAGATTTCACTGCCTCCGACACGTGTTTACCAGATGACAGGGTTTTTTTTATACAAACAAAGCATTTGTCATCCATCCCTATGGACATAGTGGATTTACGATTAATAGTGTGTATAACTCGGTGAATCCGCCGGTGGAAACTTTGATAGCAAACTTTTAATATTTTGAATTACTCAACCAGAACATCCTACGGGACCAGTAATACTACAACATTTTGCTATTATTAAACCACTACTCCATTATACCAGTGCTGGTACATAGCGCAGATAGACACACTAAAAGTTGGGATGTTTTAGTGACACAAAAGTGTTGGTTAAATCCATAATGGCCTTACTTTCTGATGTGAGCTAAGGTTCTGGCGGAACTTGAGCGACGATGTTGGTTACAATGAGTGATAACACTAGAGGATTGCAATAACCGTGGTTGCAAACCCTATATTTAGTGTACTGAATATTCGCTCACCTTGTGGCCATCCTTGACAATCTTGGCAGATGTTGCTACTTGCTGGTTTCATTTAATCAGTTGGATTGCGGTTCATACGTGCAGCTTTTAGAATTGCTGAAGCATAACGAGTAGAATGGCATCCCTTACCATATTACGGAAAAGAAATACTCGGACGCGACGTTTTCTACATTTTGTTTCACAGGTGAGCAAAATGAAAATCTTCAGGTCTGCGACGTCTCCCAACCCGTTCACCGAGTCACCGAACTCGCCAAGCATGCCCCCCAACGTAACCCTAGCCGGTGATCTGAATGGCCACGATCATCAGTCCGCATGTAGCCCGAACTTGCATAGTCCGACCCTACCGCTTTCAAACAAAGGAGCTGACTGGAAGCAAAGTCAAGTGAGTGCAACCATGCTCTCTAAATTTTGGTCATTCGAGGGAGGACGGGTGTTGTTGATGAGGAAAGGTTTTCTTGTGTGTGACTTGCAAATTCATTTAAATGTTCATCAGTGTTTGACCGGCAATCTGTTGCGCTAATCTTTCTCCTAATTATCGGGATCCATCGATTTATGTTTTAATTGACGGGGTCTTGAATCACATGTAGTGAGGCCTACTTTGGATCCGCTGTCGTACTTTCCAATTTTTGGCCATCGGAATGCAACATGTATGCTTGTCAGCGTATTTAACTACTTATCCTTTATTTGTCATTTGGTCGTTGCTGGAAGGGACGGGATGCACGGTCCTTGTGGCCGTGCTAGGCTCGAAGAGTGGTTCCATGCACTCAGTGTGGAGCGGACTACGGTCCAGCCACCGCCTTGTATGCGCTTGATTCCCCAAATACAGCGTGCTTGTGTTTGCCTGTGAAGGAGTGTGGGCCGGCTCCGTTGATGAAACGTGGCTCCCATCCGCATGTCTCCCGGTCTTATTCCTTCGGGTTTACACTGGATATGGGGTGTGTGATTTGAGCTGTGGGAGGTGCGTCGCAAGCCACCCATGTTCCCACTGTAGGCGCAGGCGTCCTGTGGCTGTTCCCTTGGACGCAATAATGACAGGCAAATCCGGACATGGATGCCGCGCATCCATATATATAATGTTTTGTTTTGTGCTACAGTAGCTGAGGTGTTCCTCATCTCTAGCTAATATGTAATGATGATTACGCTGTTTATGTTTCGCAATTAGCACAGGCACTGCAGCCTTCCAGCGAGCTTAATAACGGCGGGGTTTCAGCGTACCTACCTTGTTTTTATCTAGGTTAGCTTCACAGCAGCACTGGATAAAACCATTCAGTGTCCCGCGGAGTGAGATACCTAGTTTTCGAGCCGCAACTTTCCTGAAACAGAACGTCTATAAAAGCTACACTGACTCGAGGGCACGCGAGGCATGCCCGTTAACGTCTTGTTGAGAGGAATTTCCTTGTACCTATGGAATGTTGTTTTATGAAGTCCTGAATAGGCTGTAGTCGACTAAACAACTGGAACTGACAATTCTGATTACTCTCATGGGTGGTGTTAGTTCGTCTCGTTTCCCAGACCAGGGTCCGCGTCAATCACACTGTAGTTAGCCCAGTAAGTTAAGGGATACGGACCACAGCCAACTTCGTGCACATCCAACCCGTTGCCTGGAAACCGGATTCATTTTTTATGACTACGCAGCGTTCAGTCCTCAGTAGGGATAGATTAAAGGTGCTACAGAACAGTCACGAAGTAGTTCTATCTCCAAAGCCGTCAGCCGGTAGTTTGTGACCGTATCAGTTTGGTGAACTGCAACCTCGCTGACTTTGGCCATCTGCAAGTAGAATTTAGGTCCCTCGTTGGCAAATCTGTAGCGCTTCATTTATGGTTGTATGATAATAAAAAACACTCCATACATCAAATGAAATGTTATCACCGCTGATGATTATGATTATGGTATAGAGGTGTATAGTAATAATAATAATAATAATAATAATAATAATAATGAGGATGAGGCTGGTATTAAGTCACCGCCGCTATACAAATCACAATTCTCCGCGTATTGGTTATCTCAGGCGCCGCATCCCATACAATATAGAAACATTTGAAATCTCCATTAAATCACCTTGTTTTCGTATGCTCTTTAATAGGCTTTTGTCTTTGTGGTTTACACTTGGAACCATTCTACCTTGCAATCGTAGCATCCCACTACTAACCAATATTGAATTGACTAAACGAGCACTCTCTGTATAATGTACCCAAAGACGCTCCACATTTAAGCCCTTGGTAATCAAGCTGTAGTAATGAAATTCTGGAGCGTTTTCTCTCGATATAGCAGTAAATATCTTAAGCAAACCAAATGAGCAAACTATTTTTTATGTGCTGCAATTATACTGTAGTGTTTTCGTGTATTCAACTCAGACAATAAAGGTTTGATCGAGCGGCACTGAGAGGTGTTGCTCGAGCCGTCGCACCCATGAACGCGCACTTAGCGTAACAAGGTTCTGATAAGTAGCAACTGGGTAGATCCATTTGGTTTAGACGCAAGGATTCAGACGTTGTGATAAGAGCTAGACTGCGCCTTCGTTTGCTCGCAACTCACTGGCATGAAAACCTGACCAAAACGGCGACCAATTGAGATTACAACCGCTTCCCGAAGCTCAGCATCTGGTATCCTCAAGCTTCTGTTATTCCTTCTCTTCTAGTAGTGATAGACTCCACTAGTACCGTTCAACCATTTCTAGTTCCCTTCTAATACATCATTCAGGTCAGCTAAGCCAACGTTAGTATTGGGTAAATGATGACTTAGAGCAGGCATCGATATCCAATAGACTTTTTTCTTTTTACGTCAGTTATGTAACTTACCATACGGAATGTACTAAGCCGCGGCAAAATAAACATCCAAGTAATAAAAAATTAAATCATCTTGATGCGTATACCAAACATAAACATCTGTTTAAATGAACTGCAATGTCGTTGTCACTTGATGGCTTCAGTTGCGGTGTCCCTTAGTAAGTCACATTTCTTCTTCTTTGGATGGAACAACAAGCGCTACTGACAATGTCTTAACAACCGGAGCTGTTACTATCATTCGGTAGCCGGCAGTCCTATTGCTTGCTCTGTTTATGATGGGTTTTTCTTTGACAACCAAAACAGACCAGAAGTTCCTAACCCAGTTGCACCTTATATATCCACAAGCTATCATTTTTGTCACGCTAAACACCCTACGGGACATGTCAAGCACCTGCTTGCTTACCCATTATAAATCATTGTTCATTGTTCGTTGTACTATGCTGAAACATTCGGTTACTCAATTACATGGTCACGCATGGTTACGACGCTGTTCGCCTCTCGTGGACAAATTCTAACAGAAGTCATTTTTTTGTACATATAGCATAAAGGCTGGAATGCCCAACAATTACAAGTGTGATATCTTTTGCCGATTTTGCCGTGGCGCAGTTTATCCTCCCCAAGCTTATGGAAAACTTACATGATTAGTACAAAACTGGCCCGTGTAGTGACTACTTTATGCATTAAGACTTCAAGTAACTCAGATAACATCACTGTGGCCTCCAGAGTTAACTTGCAAGGGTACCGCGGGGGTTACATGCCCCTCAACATTTTGGAGGATGATGTGCTGTTGATGGAATAAAACAGGTTGAAACGGAACTTTATTACTTTCTGAAACCTTGCTTTGGTTACTCGGTCACATCTAACTGTTATGAGTTCTACTTAAACAACGCTATTCCACTCTACTTTATTGCTTTAGTACAACACTCCTCTTATAACTCTCTTCAAGCACATTAAGATGGAGACTTTGGTTATATTTTGCTGTGCTACTAACGATATGCAATCAGTTTCAGTTTAGGCAAATAGCAGCTATCTTTCTAATCAGCTTAATAGGTGACATTTTTACGAATCCCTGTTATCCCTCCATCTATTAATTTTACCATGGTGATTAGGGTAGGGTCGTTACGTTGTGTTACCAGTCGTCTCTTTTGCTTGGTTCCCTAGTTAGTATGTCTCGTCACGGTCTTTACATACTGTTACTTCTCCATTTATTTTAATAACCTGTGGTAAACTTTTTGTGCCTGTTTGTTTGAAAGTTGGATTTATTGAATATAGCCCAATGAAACAGCCATTATTGACTTCAAAGTGATTCTAGAATATCAGATACAGACCCTTGGTTGAGTTTATCTCATGCCAACCATAGTGCTAACAATACTGATGTTAGAGTAGATTCGGTTCACCTGTCCCACATGGCAGCACGTGGAAATGCTTTTGTGAGCGCTTCCAATGCCCCCTTTCTAACGACTGGCTAATTGCTAATCTCTTTGACACGTGTGCCTGCACCTATCTTAGTGAGCGCCATCCAGTTCAGACGGTGTATAATCTACTGAAGTAATTAGAGACTGATAGCCATCAAAACTTTAAGAACCATTCCTGTCCTTCACAAGCCAGATTAACAGCAGTAGTATTAAGAACAGTCTAACGAATAGACATGGAGCCATACCAAAGCCATGTAAATCACAGGTTTAATCACCACATCATCAACGTGGCACATTGATATCATGCAGCAGGCATTAGCAGGAGACCAGTGCACAGTACAGATGCTTTGCTGCCGCGAAACTATCACCGGTCGTACGTGGGTTAAGGATACTGCGAGGGTCGCCCTGCCACTACGCAGGCTCGAACCTGAGCCTGCAGATTACCAGACTAGTTTGTTATCTTTATGATACCGGCCGGTACACATTAGCTGAAGGTGGGCGACACACTTCAGCTACTGCACTGCAAGAACGGAACATTGTTCTCGGTTTTTTCAATTTTTGTCTTTTTCACTTGTTAACAAGTATAAATACAGATCTTCCACTGGTTTCGATTGCGCGCCATATCCTGAACTGTTTCCAGCCATTGGCACTCCCCGTCCTTTGGACTCTAACCAGGAAAAATTGTGAATCCAACGGCAGCAAAATGTGAAGTTAACAATTTCACGTGCTGTCATCAAGTGGACGGCTGACCGCCACGTGGTCTCTTGCAGCCAGGTCCTGCATGAGCGAAAAGGGCGCAGTGGGGCAAGCGCTCAGCTCACATAAGCAGAACGTGACCGGGCCATCCTAACTGACGTAGTAAAACAAGCTTGTTGAAGGGAATACTCGCATCTCCTAAGGCACGACTTCTGATTTCAGCGTTGCAGCTAGCTTGCTGTTAACACATTGGGATTGCTTCTCCTCAAGAACCCATTGTTGATTGCCGAGAGCCGGCGCATGTCGACTAAACGAACTGGCCACGACTCGCTTTTATATAGCAACACCGGCCGCATGATAGCACTGTAAACTCCACCCTTTATCAAGTGGGTGACAGCCCGATTACGTCACAAGTGTTTCAGTTTGACGGACCCTACCGAGCTTTGGCGATACGGAGGGAAACTTCCTTCCCCATAGTGCCACC